GGTGGCACCAACCGGGACAAAAGGTCCCCCCTGCCTGGGCAAGCCGCTACGGCGACGTGGAGCCCTATCTGTACCGGTTCCCGATCGAACCGGGACTAAAGGGGGAGGGCTTTAGTTACGACCCTTTAGTCCCGGTTCGTGAACCGGGACAAATGGCCCTCACGAACCGGTTCGAATGACCCTTTTCTACTAGTATATCGGCTCGAATTGCAGGATTTATATGTTAACAGCTGGAGAAACGGATCAGCATAACCAATCTTTGCCTACGGAATATTTTTATTTTTTGGAGGGAAAGCCTCTTGGCACTTTATTTGGAAACAGGCAAAGTTACATCTTTAAGTACATGTGATAACATGAAAGTTGGTGGGTCATTATCCCTTACGTACCCATGGAATGTTTGAATGTGTCACGTTTGTCAACTTTGTCACATATTACCTATACTGCCGCGTTTGTAGAACGATTAAGACGCATGTGCGAAGCCACGGAAGCTTGTTTGAAAGTCGATCAGGAGAGAGCATATAATTGATTAATATCTATATCCGGTTTGGTACTAATAGCCGCCAAGACCTGATCAAAACGTGGTGCTTCTTCCTCATTACAAAAAGCACGGGGATTCCAATATAGACAAAGGATCTGGTCTTCGTTTCTCACGTGTGTGTGTCGCTGTCACCTAACAAAACTGAAACATTCCCTCTGAAATGAGAAAAAAAGACACGCAAACAAATTGGTTTGAACTGTTCTTGCACCCCATGCTCATTGCTCCTGGCTGCTATATAAACATACAACCCAAACGAGGGAACACAAACACAACAACATAGCTCTCTTCTCGACGTCAAAAATGGATTCGAGAACAGCATTCCGCAGTGCTCTGCTACTGCTGGTGACACTGCTGCCTCTTTCAGCTAACGCGTCGAGCAAAGTAAGATACACACCCGAGGCCTCTTTCAATACTAATTTTTGTTGTTGAAAACTTACGCGACAAAATGAATTTCAGCTCTACATCGTGTATATGGGGGAGAAGAAGCATGATGACCCGTCTGTGGTTACCGCGTCTCACCATGACATGCTAACCTCTGTTTTTGGGAGGTACAATTACTAGCTATCTACAAGTTCATGTTGTTCAAAACAAAAGCTACTAAGTGCATGTTGCATCATATATAGACATATTAGTTAGCACGAAACATCTCGATTTGCTCACCTTCGTTTTACTTGGCAACAGCAAGGATGAAGCCTTGAGGTCAATAGTTTATAGTTACAAGCATGGATTTTCTGGTTTCGCGGCGATGCTCACCGAGTCTCAGGCTGAGACAATCGCAAGTAAGTAATTTTCAGTCCTAGCTATCGTTGTATCTACTTGTACGACCGACTTGAACTAATCAACATATTTTGAATGTAGAATTCCCTGAAGTTGTCACCGTCAAGCCTAACATTTTTCATGAAACGCACACAACTCGGAGTTGGGACTTTCTTGGCCTTGACCATAACCAACAACCAGCACAACAACCGGGACTACTAAAAGAAGCAAAGTACGGTGAAGATGTCATCGTGGGTGTGATCGATACAGGTTCGCAATCCCACCCTCAAGCTTACATCCTAAATATGAGAAATCCCATTACCGAATAAATTAATTCCCATGAATATGCATGCTTCTTTATAGGCATATGGCCTGAATCACGAAGTTTTGATGACAATGGGTATGGCCCTGTGCCGGCACGGTGGAAAGGGAAATGCCAGACTGGTCAGGATTTCAACGCCACAAGTTGCAACAGAAAGATCATTGGTGCGCGCTGGTATGGTCTCGGCATCAGTGACGGGGTGCTAAACAACAACTACAAGTCCCCTAGGGACATTGACGGCCATGGCACGCATGTCGCCTCGACCGTCGCCGGCGGGGAAGTGCAGGGCGTGAGCTACGGAGGCCTAGGCATGGGCGTGGCACGCGGCGGGGCGCCACGTGCGCGGCTCAGTATCTACAAGGTTTGTTGGTTGGGTGGGAATTGCCCTGAAGCAGCGATCCTCGCGGCTATCGATGACGCCATATATGACGGTGTTGACGTCTTGTCACTCTCGCTTGGAGGGGCTGGTCACGAGTTACCCGGGACGCTACATGCTGTGCAAAGAGGGATTTCTGTCGTGTTTTCCGGAATGAATGATGGCCCTGTGCCGCAAACAGTGTCCAATACCCTTCCATGGGTTACCACGGTGGCCGCTAGCACGATTGACCGGTCTTTCCCGACCTTGATATCGCTCGGAAACAAAGAAAAGCTGGTGGTACGTGCACGCTACAAACAAACATTCTTCAAGTATTCATCTCAGATCGTGAAAAGAAACAAAATATATATTTAGCTCGTCCCTGAAGCTAGCTTCCCTAATTCTTTTACTGACATTGCTTGACTCGAAACACAGGGGCAATCTCTTCACTACAATGCATCTCTAATCAGCGACGACTTTAAAGGCCTTGTTTATGCCGGGAGGTAATGAAATAAAACTTTTGTATTTATGGAACTGATCACTTCACGAATTTTTTGTAGTTGTCCACTTTTTTAACCACGATTCGGTGATTTTGTCAATTATACTGAATTAAAACTAATGCACAGCTGTGACACCGAATCATCACTGACATTGAGCAACGTCACTGGTAAAATCGTCCTGTGCTATCAACCGGCAGCAGCGAATAGCATGCCGCCTCCACAAGCACTTCCCATAGCCATCAATCTCACCATCATGGCTGGCGCCAAGGGTCTCATATTTGCACAGTACACTACTAACCTCCTCGACTTCCTGCCTTTGTGTAAGGGCGTTATGCCCTGTGTAGTGGTGGATTTTGAGATCGCACACCGAATTGTCTCCTATTGGAGGTCAGACAAAGGGTGAGTGCCTGTCGTGTTGTCCGAAACATAGTTCAATGCATTTTCTTCTTCTCCGGAAACTCATGCCAGTCATATGTCATGCTAGGAATGCGGTGGTGAAAGTGTCACCCGCAATGACCGTTGTCGGGAAAGGGGTGTTGTCACCGAGGGTCGCCTCATTCTCGTCAAGAGGTCCAAGCATGTTGTTCCCTAGCATACTCAAGGTATATATTATTCTCAACTTCTTAACTTGAGACAATTGTTGCCATTGTCTTGTTTGTTACCTAGCCTCCCTAGGTTTTTTTACTTAACACATCTTATCTAATTCTCAATACACATGTTTGCGCAGCCCGACATTGCTGCACCTGGCGTTAGCATCTTGGCAGCGGAGCGCAACTCCTACGTGTTCAAATCCGGGACATCCATGGCGTGCCCGCATGTCTCCGCTGTGACCGCACTGCTCAAGTCGGTTCACCCTGGCTGGTCACCTGCCATGATTAAGTCTGCCATGGTCACCACAGGTACGAACATGGAAATACAAAAAATACATGAAAACAACTTGTCAAAAGATATAACTGACTTGATTGTTTCCTATCTTGATTGCAGCATCTGTGACTGATCGTTTTGGCATGCCAATCCAAGCAGAAGCGGTCCCAAGGAAACTAGCCGACCCCTTCGACTTTGGTGGTGGACACATTGACCCAGATAGAGCCATTGACCCTGGCTTGGTTTATGACATGGATTCAAGGGTGTACAACAAGTTTTTCAACTGCACTCTTGGATATTTAGATGGCTGTGAGTCCTACTACCTCAATCTCAACCTCCCGTCAATTGCCGTGCCGGACCTCAAGGACCGTGTCATGCTTCGGCGCACTGTGACTAATGTTGGGCCAGCGGAAGCAACATATCATTTAGTGGTTGAAGCTCCAGCAGGGATAGATGTGTTCGTGGAACCATCTGTGATTAGTTTCACCAAAGGAAGCAGTAGAAGCGCAACATTTATGGTGACATTCACAACAAGGCAGAGAGTGCAAGGAGGATACACTTTCGGGAGCTTGACATGGTCAGACGGAAGTACCCACTCAGTGAGAATTCCTGTTGCTGTACGGACTGTGGTACAAGACTTCGTTGCGGATACCGCTTAAACTTGTATCTTGTTATTCTACACCTTGTTTGTGTATTCATGTAGGTCGCATACGGAAATGTAGGAGAAACACTCAGTATCGAATTTGTACATCATAAAAAAAGTTATACAGAAGTAGTATGGTTCTTCTTTGCAAAGGTGTGGTTTCTTCACAAACTTGTACAAAAATTGCACTTAAAAAGAAAATGTCGGATCATATATATCATTGACATGAACTAGAGTATGGCACAACCATGGATGTAAAGCTCACAAATCTATCTTTCTTGATGAAAAGGTTGTTGAACTGAAAGTGAAAAGAAATCAACACAATCGAATTTTCTTTGCTGGGAAAATGTCAATGAATTCGTGGATGGCTGCTAATGTCTAAAATGCTCGTGTTAAGTTTATATTATTATCAATTTTTGCACAATTTCCTTTGTACTGTCGTGGTCTTTATTCATCGGTATAAGTGTCAAGACTTCAAGATCCTTATATTCGTAGTTGCTCATTCATTGTCCCGAGTCCTGACCACCCATGTCCTTTGATTAATTCTACTCCTCTAGAGTCTAGACATGGTTCTAAGCCGGGTAAAAAAAATGAAACACATGACATGGTACACTCATTTTCTAATGGCACAACCGTGGCACCGAGAAGCATGCCGCCTCGACAAGCACTTCCCATAGCCATCAATCTCACCACCATGGCTGGCGCCAAGGGCCTCATATTTGCACAGTACACTACTAACCTGCTTGACTTCCTGACTTTGTGTAGGGGCGTTATGCCCTGTCTAGTGGTGGATTTTGAGATCGCACAGCGAGTTGCCTCCTATTGGAGTTGGGACAAAGGGTGAGTGCATGTCGTGTTGTCCGAAACATATTTCAATGCATTTTCTTCTTCTCCGGGAACTCATGCCAGTCATATGTCATGCTAGGAATGCGGTGGTGAAGGTGTCACCCGCAATGACCGTTGTCGAAAAAGGGGTATTGTCACCGAGGGCCGCCTCATTCTGGTCGAGAGGCCCAAGCATGTTGTTCCCTAGCATACTCAAGGTATATATTATTCTCAACTTCTTAACTTTAGACAATTGTTGCCATTGTCTTGTTTGTTACCCAGCCTCCCTAGTTTTTCTTAACTTAACATGTCTTATCTAATTCTAAATACACATGTTTGAACAACCCGACTGTCGGCGTCCTAGATTCGGGGGTATCCAGCCCTGCCTGCCTGAGGCCCACCACGTGGCTCCATCGACGGCCTGGTACAACCCAGCTTCAAGACCAACACCACAAGACCCTCGCGAGGGGCCAAGCCTCGCGAGGTGGACGACGCCAAGACCCTCAGAGGAATCAGCCTCCTCAGGACTGGCCCCTGAGGGGCGGAGAGTTCTATGCAAGTACCTCACGAGGCTCAGCTGACGTGTGCCATGACGACCAAGGCTAGACGGGCGCCAGGCGGGCGCAGAGCGCAGGTTTCCTCTTCGGTGCAAAGGAGGCAAGCCACAGGCGCGGAGTCCTGAGAAATCAGTCAAAAGTTTCCATTCTGGTGCAACGAGACCAAGGACGCCAGGACGACAGGACGGAGGTCATCGACGAGCCCACCGCAGTGTCACGACTAGAGGCTTTTCGCAGGCGAAGACTACTTTTGTCAGGATAGACTGTACTACTTGTCCCCTTTCAAATCTGGCCGTTGTGGGATCCCTTCCCGCTCATATTTGGGAGGAGGACCAAGGCCACTATATATAGGAGTTAGCCACCACCATAGAGGGGGATCTCATCTTGTTGGGACGGAGGAGATCCATTCTCACCCACACCAGCACAAGAACTCCTCACCTCCTGAGGCCAGTTCACCCATTGTACTAGTTTATCCGCAGCCTACAAGGCAATCCACCACACCACACTGGATTAGGGTATTACACCACAACTGTGGCCCGAACCAGTATAAACCGCTATGTCTCTGTGTTTCTTTGAGCCCGACGCGCTAGGCTTAGGAGGATCGCGAGTAGACAGGCTGGGCGGGTTGAGATCTCCGCACGCACCCCAGTGTTCAAACCTCTCAAGGGTTTGCGGATCCCTAAATCCAACATTTGGCGCGCCAGGTAGGGGTGCGTCGGAATCTTCTTCCTCGACCACTAGATCGTGCCGCTAACTTTGATGGTTGGCGCTCCTCCGTCGGCCCAATCGACGCGCGTCCTCGAAGAAGCGCCAGGGATGCACTGCTTCACCCTCTCCCTGTGGCAGGTGCGGTGGCCGCCCAAGTGCCCAGCCTGCCTACTCGCGAGGAAGGGGACCGGTTCTGCCGCGTCATCGTAGCGCGGCGGCATCTCCGGGTCCGTGCTGCCCGGCGAGAAAAAGGGTCAGGAGGCCCCAGAAGCAGTGCCGGCCAAGAAGAAACAGTTGTTTTCCCAAGACCGAGCCGAGACGAAGCAAGTGCAGGTCTGTGAGGATGGGACGGCCAGCGCCACCTTCAACAGAGGGGCTGGCCTCCCTCAAGATCAAGAGAAGGCATTGATCAACTTTTTGCGAGCCAACAAGGATGTATTCGCTTGGTAACCCAAACACCTGGCTAGGGTCCCAAGGGGAATAATCGAGCACCATCTGAGGGTATGTCCAAATGTGCGGCTGGTAAAGCAGAAGGCTAACCGCCAGTCCACCGAGAAGCAGGCCTTCACCGTCCAAGAAACTCGTAAGCTACAAGCCGCAGGGGTCATCAGAGAGGTACGTTACCCAGAGTGGCTGGCGAACCCTGTCATCGTCCCCAAGAAAGGAGGGAAGGAACGCATGTGTGTCGACTTCACCAACCTCAACAAGGCCTGCCTGCAAGATCCCTTCCCGCTTCCTCACATCGACCAGATCATCGACTCCACCGCCGAGTGTGACCTGCTGTGCTTCCTGGATGCCTTTTCCGGCTACCACCAGATCAAGATGGCCGTAGAGGATGTGGAGAAAACGACATTCCTCACCCCATGCGGGGTGTACTGCTACACCTACATGCCTTTCGGGCTGCGTAATGCCGGGGTAACCTTCCAGCGGTTGATGCATATCGCCCTGGGTTCGCAGCTTGGGAGGAACGTAGAGGCCTATGTTGACGATATAGTGGTGAAGTCTTGGGAGGCCATGACACTGATAGGAGATCTGGAGGAGACGTTCGCTAGCCTGCATGAGGTAGATCTTCGGCTCAGCCCCGAGAAGTGTGTGTTCGAGGTCCCCTCCGGCAAACTGCTGGGCTTCCTGGTGTCATACAGAGGGATCGAGGCCCACCCGGAGAAGGTCACGGCGATAGAGGACATGAACCCCCCACAGACCCTGAAGGAGATGCAGAAGCTGGCGGGCTGCGTAACCTCACTTGGGCATTTCACCTCCAAGCTGGGGGAGCGCGCCCTCCCATTTTTCAAGCTGATGAAGAGGAAGGAACCATTCGAGTGGACCCCGGAGGCAGACATAGCCTTCCAGGACCTCAAGAAATATTTGACCAGCCCGCCAGTGATAGTGGCACCGCGCCCTATCGAGCCCTTGGTACTCTATCTGGCAGCAACCCCTCACTCAGCAAGCACCGCGCTGGTGGCACTAAGAAAGGAACACTCAGTCAAGAAACCTCAGCAGGATGCGCAACTATCAAGCAAGGCACATCACCCTTAGGACGATGTATCCGGGGCCTCGACCGACCTGGAGATCGACATTCCTCTTGAGGCCACGATGAACCCCACGGCCATCAAGGCTCCCGAGGGCGGGCCTCATGAAGCCATGGAGGACCTGCGCCCTCGTGAAGAACAAGACTCAGCTGATGCCTCCCTCCTCGTCGAGCACCCTGTCTACTTCGTCAACACAGTACTGAGAGAGGCTCGGCTACCCCATGCCTTAGAAGCTCCTGCTCGCACTCCTGGTCACCTCCAGGAAACTGCGCCACTACTTCCAAGGCCACCCCTTCAAAGTTATTTCGGCATACCCGCTGGAGAGGGTGCTCCGGAGCCCGAACGCAGCCAGGTGAGTTGCTGAATGGAACATTGAGCTTCAGGCATTCAACCTTGAGTTCAGCACCACCAGGGTCATCAAGGGCGCGGCCCTCATGGACTTCATGGCTGAGTGGACTGATGCTCCTGACCACGGAGTAGGCGAGGGCTGCTCCCTCCTGCCGGGAGACGAAGAGCCGGACGGGTGGATCATGTACTTCGACGGGGCGTTCACGCGACAAGGCGCAGGAGCGGGGGCCATCCTCATCTCACCCACCAAGGACAAGCTCTGTTACGCAGTGCAACTCTGCTTCCAGCAGGGTGAAAAGGTCTCCAACAACATCGCCGAATTTGAAGGCTTGCTCGCCGGACTTAGGGCCGCAACCGCACTGGGAGTAAAGCGCCTCACCATCAAGGGCGACTCTCAGCTTCTCGTCAACTTCTCCAACAAGGAGTACACGCCTAAGGACGAGCACATGGAGGCGTACCTAGAGGAGGTGCGCAAGATGGAGAAGTGGTTCGTGGGTGTGGAGCTATAACACGTGCCGCGCGGGACGAACAAGGAAGCAGACGACATCGCCAAAAGAGCCTCTCGCAGGCTCTCTCAGGAGCCGGGGGTGTTTGAGGAGCGGCTCTTCAAGCCGTTTGCAACCCCTCACGCCAAGACTCCAGCACCACCTCCCGAGGAGTTCCCACAGGCACCCGAGACGGGCGCCCCAGCCTTTGGTCACCCCTCGGGAGCCCGCCTGCTGCTCGTGCTCGAGCCTCATGAGGGGTGCTGGAACAAAGAGTTCAAGGCGTACTTGCTTCAAGGGACCCTGCCAGAGAAGGAGGAGGACGCCGAGCACGTGACCCGTCAAGCCACCGCGTACTGCATCAAGGATGGTGAGTTATATCGCAGGAGGCCCAATGACGTTTCATTGCGGTGCATCTCCAGGGAACAGGGGCTCGAGCTGCTAGCGGACATACATGGTGGGGACTGCGGGCATCATTCCTCGTCACGCACTCTGGTGGGCAAGGCGTTCCGCAACGGCTTCTACTGGCCCACTGCACTCAGCAACGCTACAGAGCTAGTGCGC